AGTCCAGCCGGATCGATGGAAAGCGGCAAAATGCATACCGATCCCGAAACCAGGAAAATCCGACTATTCGTCAGCCAAAGCCTACCGACCCATCTCCCTATTACAATGCTTCAGCAAAGTACTGGAAAAGATAGTGGCAACAAGACTATGCACCGCCGGATCCATCCTGGAGACGCTTAGCAAAGACCAGTTTGGAGGAAGACCAACAATCTCAGCGATCGATGCCCTACTACGGACCCTTACGCCCATACAACAAAACCTCCTAATTAAACGAACCACAGGAACCACTCCAGACAGACCAGCCCTCCTCACAAACGATATACAGGGAGCCTTCAACTGCGTCAACCACCTCCTACTCGCAGAAATCATGACCCAACAAAAATTCCCGACCTACCTAACCAACTGGTGCAAGGAATTCAACACCAACCGAACACTCCAATTCCAATTTAACCACGAACTGGAACCACCACAACCATATGCCTCAGGACTACCCCAAGGCTCCCCCCTCTCCCCAGTATTATTCATGATATACGCCGGGGTGATAACAGACCCCACCAACTCCCCTAAAGAAACCAACACCACCTATATCGACGACGATGCACTCGTACAACTCGCAAAGTCCCCCCTCTACATCACCAAAAGACTCAACGAAAGAATGGCGAAAAGGGTCAAAAAAGCAGCACCCCTCAACATCAAATACGAACCTCAGAAATCCGACCTGGTCTTCTTCAAACCCACATCGTCGAATACTCCAACTCCCAGAAACTCGGTAACAATCGCAAAAGAAGAAATCCAACCTAAAAATAGACTCAAATATGTTGGAGTCTGGCTGGACTCAAACCTCTCCTTCCGACCCCACATCGAAGAAACCATCGCCAAAGGCCTTAAAGCCCTAAGCAGAATCAGGAACATCGCAGACCTCCCCGGAACAACAGTAAAATCCATCCACCACCTCATCGTCCAAGGCTTCCTCCCCACCATCCTATGGGGATCGGAGGCATGGTGGACGGGAGCCGACCACATCCTCCGATCACTATCCCCACTCTATAACGAAGCTGCCAGGATAGTAACAGGCCTACCCCGCTGGACAAAAACCGAAAGACTGCTGAAAGAGGCAGCACTCCCCCCACTCGAACACCTCCTCAACCACAAATCACGAAAATACGGGACCCGAATCCTTTGCCATCCTGCCGACCACCCACTCAACGAAGGAGTTATACAGCTCCTCCCCACCAGAATAAAAAACACAAAAGGCACAGGCCTACACCGGATAGCATCACTCATGTTACCCTTCCAAGAACCAGGCAACCGCAGAGAGAGATGGATCCAAAACGACACCCTCACCAAACGCATGCTGGAAGAATGGAACTCCATCCCATGCACCAATTACCACGAGCCAGGAACCCTTAAGATTCACCCCAAACGAGCAAAACTCCCCCGATCCAAAGCGAAACTCATACATCGCATACGATGCCAAGTTACCAGAATAGACAGACACACAGCATTCATGGAACCCGAACCCTGCCAATGTGGCTCGGAACAATCCTCCAGACACACCATGATCGACTGCCCGCGATGGGCCCAGATACGAAGGCCACTTATGGATAAAATCCCAGGACCGCACACCTGGGAAAACTGGCTATTCACCAACCTCAACGTAGACCTGATTCTACAATTCGCATCAAAAACCAACCTACTCGACTGGTACGAAATGGACGAGGAGGACCCGGAGGAATGATGATAGGCTTCTTTGTTTTCTCTTTCCTTTTCTGTACCTTCCTTTGATCTTCGTTGCTTTCCGTCTTTTTTCTTTTCTGTTCTGTTCGGTCTCCTTTGTTTTTCCTATGTTTATGGCGATGGATCCGGCGTGCGATAAGTCTTGTACTTCAAAGCAATATAAAAACTATCTATCTATCTATCTTCTGTATTTCTTTATCGCAACCATTTGTCCGTACCTGGCATATTATATCAGGCAGGACCACTTCTATATCTACGCTGGTTCTCAATACATACGCTATTACTTCTCTTCTTCACGAAGACCCTCGCACCTCGCTTGACCTTGCTTGATCTCGCTTGACTAAATCGACAGCTTCTACTGTCGCATATCGTACCCTGCGGAATACGTGCTATCACCGCCCCTTGAGATAATCCCAGAGTGCCTTCAACTCAACTTGGGATAGGGCATATATTGGTCCCCACGGTGGTTGTTTGCCTTCTTCCAATACTATTTTCATATCATGGGATGATCGATGTGGCGTAAGCGCAGAAGCATCATATTCTTCAAACATATGGATATAACGGTGGAACTCTTCCGGTATCAGTTGGTTAATATCGATGGTAGATTTTTCAGTCGCCGAAACGGTAATGGTGTGAGTTTCCGGTAGGGGAATTGATATGCCATGAACCGTAACTGTGGTTCCACTAAGCGAACAATGTTGACAGCAGCTTTGAGAATCGAAAATGAGCAAATTTTCTTTTGGTCGAATCGTGACGTCATGGCGTCGCATCCAAGGTATCCCCATCACAATCGGATAATGTCCCAACTTTGTTACAAAACATGACGCAGTCTCTCGATGGCCATGAATGTCTAGTGAGACGTCAACAATATGGGTAATCTTTCCTGACTTGATTGGTCTGCCGTCTATAACATCTACGTGGCGCGGCATTTTGAGAGAGGTCATGGTGAGATTATTGTGGCGTGCAAAAGATTCATCGATGAAAGCATATCCTGATGCTCCGGTATCAATAAGGGCGTAGGTGGGTACGAAAGTATTTTTATTCTGTGAGATTGAACAAGTTACTACAAATTGGTTCCCATCCATTTCCTCCTCTGATACCGAAAAACCAGAAATATGCAATTCTGAAAAATCCTTAAATGGTCCCTGTGCTAAGCCACTTAGTGCAGGGACAAATCTTTTGCCGACTCGTTATCGCTTCCGCCGTTTTCCTCCACTCTCAATGCTGCTCCCCTCATCACCGGTCTTCTTGGTTGGTTTGCAGTTCCCCTCGCTTGGGGGCAATCTCTAATCATGTGTCCGACGCCTCCGCAATAGAAACATCGGCCCTCAGCTAAGCGGGCATTTCTCTCAGTAGGGGTGGGGCGACGACGTCCCCCGGACAAATCCATCGGTACATCACCTCCCGGGCGGAACGAGGGATGGTTCTCAGGGGTAGGTGCATTAACAGCTGGGGCAGTAGCGCGAGGAGTAGGGGCAGGATTCCCTGGTGGGGGGCGAGGGGTCGGAGTAGCAGTAGCATTCCAAGGCTTTTTATTTCCTCGCTTAGCCTCTGCCGCTCGACGTCGATTATCTAACCGTTGCAAGAGCGTCGCACATGCATCTACCGTCGCATGAGTTTCATGGTGTATCATTGATTCATCGAGTTCCGCATTAATGCCTTCCATCAAAGCCTCATTCCTAGAGACTTCATCCATCCCCGACTCGGCAGCATACCGTTGGAATTCGGCAAAGTAGTCAGCAAAGGTTCGGTTTCGTTGACGGATGTTCCTAAGGTTCCTCCTAGCCGTGCGTATTCGATCCGGATCCCCGAAAGCAGTATCCAAGATTTCATAAAACCGTAACATGGAAGGCAAAGCGATGCCTTCTTCTCCGACATATTGTAAGAACTGATTAGCGGCAATACCCTCCAATCGACTAAACGCATAGGATAACTTGGACTGTAGTGTGGGAAAACGATCGGCATTTCCCAAGAGCTTAATCCTCATCTGTTGCTTGGATAGATGCAATCTTTCTCGATCGCGATCTCCCCTAAACACCTCAGGATCTGGGAGCTTCTCCGAGCGCTGAGTAGTAGCCACAATGGGTGACATGGGAGGTGCAGGTGGGGCATCATCACCACCAATCGGTTCTTCATCAGGGGCGACCACCTCAACAGCAACTCGTTGAGTTCGAGCAGCAGCAAGATCTCGTTCGAACATCTCCCTTGCGTTTCCAGCCTCTCTTTCTACCTCCTGCAAGTCCGTTGCATACTGAGCAAGACCATGTTGGGCCCTTTGAAGAAGTGCATAAGCTTCTATTCCGACAGTATTATCGACCTGTGGGTGTTCTTGGAAAAAGGTTTGAAGGGTATCACTTAGTTGCTGGTAATCGATCGGGGCGTGTTCCGACATTGTAGACTATAGTGTTGTATTGGTTGGCAATGGAGGACGCAATCTGGTGTAACGGGTGTCTATGGGCGTAGGAACTATAGTGCCAAGGAATACAACCGAGGCGAAGACGTAGCAATAGGTATTCGAGACTATGGCTATGGGCCGGTTCTACCTGGTATGACAAACCAGTCGAACCCTATGACGAAACGTGGAACAAAAGTATTATTCAGGGAGTAAATACAGAAGATTGCGTGAAGAGAAGAGGAAAGGAAGGAAAACATGAAAAGGCACGAGACAACACCCCTTTATATATCCAGCCCCTAGTCCGTTGATGACTCATACCCCGCGTAATGGAAACCAAAAGAACATGAAAGAAAACCCATTACAAATCATAGTCCAACTGCGCGATTCCTTCTCTTCACAACCCAATCTATCACCTTAGCTGAAATATAATATTGCCGTTACATTTCGGCTTGACCAATGCTCCTGCGTCATTTCAGGTCATGGTCAATACCATATTCAAGGATCTTCTAGATCAAGGCGTTGTAGTCTATTTGGATGACATCTTAATGTATTCAAAGACTAGAGAAGAGTATACGACTCTTGTACGGGAGGTTTTGGAACGACTGCAACGACACCATCTATACGGAAACCTCGAGAAAACGAAGTGGTATCAACAGGAGGTAGAATTCCTGGGATTCAAACTATCAGGAAAAGGGAACCGAGTATCACCAAAGAAAGCCCAGGCGATCGAGGGTTGGTTAGCCCCAACCAAGGTCAAGGAACTTCAATGCTTCCTTGGTTTCGCCAATTTCCTAAAACAGTTTATCCACCGATACTCTGAGGTTTGCAGGCCTATGACCGATCTCCTGAAGAAAGGTGCTGTATGGAAATGGGCAGGGAACAGCAAGATGCGTTCGACGAGCTCAAGAGAAGATTTACGTCTGCTCCAATACTCCGACACTATGACGAACACCCTGAAGCAATCGTGGAGACCGATGCGAGTGACTGGGCTGAGGCCGCAGTACTCTCTCAGGTGTTCGAGGACGGTATTCTACATCCGGTAGCTTACCACTCTCGCAAGTTCAACGAGGCAGAGGTTAACTATGAGATCTATGACAAGGAGATGCTCGCAATAGTTTCTGCTCTTTTGACTTGGAGACATTGGCTGCAAGGGACGGACATCCCTATCCAGATACATTCGGATCACCAAAACCTGCAGTATTTCACAACGACCAAGAAGTTGTCCAGAAGACAAGCCAGATGGGCCGAGAAGATAGCACCTTTTCGCTTCAAGATCCATTACCGACCAGGCGAAAAGAACGGCAAGCCAGATGCACTCACAAGGCATCCGGAGTTCGCGATGGAAGGGAGAGTAATGCGTGAGCAGCCCGTAAAACAGCTACTCAGCGCAGAACAGTTTGTCAGAAAATCACGGATCAGCGTAAAAACTGGGCCTGAAGTGATTGGCTACCCCGAAGAGGAATGAAATCAGTTGGATCAGTGGTACGACATACCGAGCGTAGAGCTGCCTCAGCCACTACAGGGTTGGTATGAACAGGAAAGACGATGGGTTCGGAGGATGGTCCCGGATGAACACCTCCCTGACTCAAACCTTGAGATCTTTGGACCACCGGAGGTTGCTATCGTAAAGGTAGAGACTGCCGCTGAATGGAGTCCCGATTCGAATGACCCCACCCACGATGGTCGATGGGTAGTACCGGGCTACGCGGTCAAGCAGGTCATTGAGGAACATCATGATGGTGTTTGGGGAAATGGCCAGTGCTAAGCGATAATTCTGTAGCGTTTAAACTGATGATATTGTAAACCGGATTCCCTTGACTTTGATGGTTGATGATACCCTCAAGTCTTCGCAGAATCAAGCCCTATTTATACATGTTGGGACCTATGCCAAGGCCCGCTTTCTAATACTAACTGATACAACGATAATAGAATAAGATAACGCTCCCGAAGATAACCCAGATAGAAAAGCGCCCCCGCATAGTCCCGTCCTCCATTCTAATTCCGACACGTAACCATGAACTTTGCAATTGCCAGTCATCGGATTGTACCATACTATTATCCTAGACCTACTTCTCTAAGTAGAACAGCCTACAGCCGTAAGCCCCGCTTACTATTCTCTTTTGGGTGAGACACCCAACAGTAAGCGTGCCGTCATAATAGTATGGCCTAGCGTGGTGACACCGCGTGCCCCCACACTACCCGATACCTTTCTATGCTTGCCCTTCCGTCACCCGACCGGCCTTACATCACAACCCGTCACTCGTATTTCTCACTGTCCTAAGCCTGTAGAACAGTGCTTCCGTAGTTCCTGTAACACTACTCCCCCTTCCTAGACGTCGCCCTCGACCGTTAAAACCCTTTCTATGATAAAAACCCTGTGGGAAAAGTCGTAGAGTAGGGAAAGGTATCGAGCTTAGTCTCGCCTGTTCCGTTGTCGTTTAGGAGCCCGGTCATTATCGATCGCTGGGTCTTGACTTCGCGTGTGGGGTCGTATGTTCGAGATTGGCTGGAAGTTCTTGTCTGCCAATGCCTCCTGTGGCTCGGGTGTTGCCAGTCGCTTTCGTGTATTCTGTTTTCGGGTGGGGTCTGGGTCCTCACGATAGGTTCGCAGCAACATCTCGTGAAAGACATCATGAACCTTCCATTCTACTGGAAGCTCCAGGCGGTAAGCCCGATTGCCCACCACTGCCGACACTGCGAACGGCCCTGTAAACTTGTCTGACCACTTGGAGTACCTCCAAGGTTCCGAGTATCCAGCAAGACTTTCTGACCGATAGTGAACCGCTGTACTGCCGGTCCTGGCTTTGACGCCATCCTATCAAAGGTCTTCTGTAGCGTATCTCTCGCTAACTCATGAGCCGTAATGATCTCATCCAAGTGGTTGTTCCCGTTGGCGTCTAATCGTTCGATCTCTGCATCCGTAGGCCAATCCGTTCGAGGGTGGAAGCCATAATTGCAGTAGAACGGCGATTGCCCCGTCGACGTATGCTTCGCATTGTTGTAGGCGTATTCACAGATAGGTAACAGGTCCTTCCATTTCTTGCCTGTTCCTGCCGTATATGCCCGAATATAACCTTCCATGTGTTGGTTGGTCCGCTCTGTTTGGCCGTCGGTTTGGGGGTGGAATGAGGTGGAGAGTCTTCTACGAATCCCCAGTCTGTCCGTAATTGCCGCCCAGAATGCTGACACGAACTGCATTCCTCTGTCTGAGACGATGCTCCTAGGAAGTCCGTGGAAACGCCAGATGTCTTTGACGAATGCGTTGGCGGTTTGTTCCGCGTTGATTCCCGTCATTGGAATGAAGTGAGCCATCTTCGTAAAACGGTCCACGACTACCAATACGTTGCGGAATCCTGATTTCTCCTTAGGTATTTCTACTACGAAATCCATCGAGATATCAGTCCAAGGTGTGGTGGCTAACTCTAGGGGTTGAGGGAGTGACAAGTGTCTCCGACGTTGCTTGGCTCTCTGGCATACATCGCAAGTCTTGACGAAGTTGGCTACATCCGTGGACATTCCTGGCCACCAGTAGTTCCTATCAATCAACTCAAGGGTTTTATCCCTTCCTAGATGCCCCGCTACGGGTCGATCATGATGTTCCTCCATGACCTGCTTGACCGCGTAGCCCGGTACTACCCATCGACCATCGTGGGTGGGGTCATTCGAATCGGGACTCCATTCAGCGGCAGGCTCTACCTTTACGATAGCGGCCTCCGGTGGTCCGAAGATCTCAAGGTTTGAGTCAGGGAGGTGTTCATCCGGAACCATCCTCCGAACCCATCGTCTTTCCTGTTCATACCAACCCTGTAGTGGCTGAGGCAGCTCTACGCTCGGTATGTTGTACCACTGATCCAACTGATTCCATTCCTTTTCGGGGATGCCAACCACTTCGGACCCAGTTTCTACGCTGGTCCGTGATTTTCTGACAAACTGTTCTGCGCTGAGTAGCTGTTTTACGGGCTGCTCACGCATTACTCCCCCTTCCATTGCGAACTCCGGACGCCTTGTAAGTGCATCTGGCTTGCCGTTCTTTTCGCCTGGTCGGTAATGGATCTTGAAGCGAAAAGGTGCTATCTTCTCGGCCCATCTGGCTTGTCTTCTCGACAACCTCTTGGTCGTTGTGAAATACTGCAGGTTTTGGTGATCCGAATGTATCTGGATAGGGATGTCCGTCCCTTCCAGCCAATGTCTCCAAGTCAAGAGGGCAGAAACTATTGCGAGCATCTCCTTGTCGTAGATCTCATAGTTAACCTCTGCCTCGTTGAACTTGCGAGAGTGGTAAGCTACCGGATGTAGAATACCGTCCTCGAACACCTGAGAGAGTACGGCGGCCTCAGCCCAGTCACTCGCATCAGTTTCCACGATTGCTTCGCGGTGTTCGTCATAGTGTCGGAGTATTGGAGCAGACGAAAATCTCCTTTTGAGCTCGTCGAACGCATCTTGCTGTTCCCTGCCCCATTTCCATACGGAACCTTTCTTCAGGAGGTCGGTCATAGGTCTGCAAACCTCGGAGTATCGGTGGATGAACCGTCTTAGGAAATTGGCGAAACCGAGGAAGCATTGAAGTTCCTTGACCTTGGTTGGGGCTAACCAACCTTCGATCGCCTGGACTTTCTTTGGTGATACTCGGTTCCCTTTTCCTGATAGTATAAATCCCAGGAATTCTACCTCCTGTTGATACCACTCCGTTTTCTCGAGGTTTCCGTATAGATGGTGTCGTCGCAGTCGCTCCAAAACTTCCCGTACAAGAGTCGTATGCTCTTCTCTAGTCTTCGAATACATTAAGATGTCATCCAAGTAGACTACTACGCCTTGATCTAGAAGATCCTTGAATATGGTATTGACCATGACCTGAAACGACGCAGGAGCGTTGGTCAAGCCAAAAGGCATTACCCTATATTCGAAGAGGCCGTATTTCGTTCGGAAAGCGGTTTTCCATTCTTCGCCCTTAGCAATCCTAATCAGATTATAGCCATTTTTCAGGTCTATTTTCGTGAAGTAGAGTGCTCCTTTCGTTGCGTCGGCCAGCTCGTTCATGAGCGGCAGTGGATAACGGTTCTTGATTGTGATTCCATTCAAGCCGCGAAAATCGACACATAACCGAAGTTTACCATTAGCTTTCGGAACGAACAGGACGGGTGCCGCTGCTGGGCTAGTGGAGGGAACTACTTTGCCAGAGGGCAAGTTCTCGTCCAAATACTCCCGGAGTGCCTTATCCTCAGGTGGGGAGAGCGAATAGATTGGTCCCCACGGCGGCTGCTTTCCTTCCATAAGAGGAATGGTGTGATCCCATTCAGAGTGATCAGGTAGTCGAGCGGCTCCTTCCTTGGAGAACACGTCGGCATATTCCTGAAACTCCACCGGTATAGCACTAACGAGAGCCTCGTTTACCGATGCTCTTGCCCAAAAGGGGTGTTGCTCGATCGTCATCTGCTTCTTGGGTGACGCCCTCAACAGCCTGATGACCAGCTCTTCTGGGTCTTGATCGTATATGTCTTCGACTGATACGAAGCATCCATGGACTATACAGTTGTTGCTATGGAAGCTGACACTGTTGCGTCCCCAATGGATGGTTGGTTGATGCTCTTTGAGCCATCGATGTGGTATGACGAGGTCCTCTCCTGCGAACGAGCCAACCTCACAGGTGATAGCCCTGTCTAGATGGTTGCCGATGCGGAGGGTAAGGGGTTGAGTGATGTGAGTGCCGGAATTGGGCATAGGGGTACCGTCGGCCTGTCTGATGATGAGAGGCTTTGGTCGAGGTTGAGTGGGTATTTTCGCGCGGTGGATACAGTCCCAGGACATGATCCAGTCCTCTGTGCCACTGTCCAAGAGTGCGTTGACTGTTGCGACATGTTTGTTACTAGTTGCGGGGTGATCCCAAGAGATCTCGATCTCGAGGCGGGTTTCTTGTGTGTTGGAAGACATGTTTGTATGTTGGTTTTTGATAAAGGTTTTGTATTGGTTCTGGGTGTGGTTTTCGATGGTTTTTCCTTGTTGAGCGCAGGGTGAGGGGGTTTATATAGAGAGTTCGAGTGTTTGATGAAGATCATGGTACAACACTTACGCACCAGGCGTTTCGGGGTGTAACCCCATCCTCAGAGTGTGTGTAAAGAGAATTGAATTTCCGCGCGTATAACAAAACAAATATAGAAAATCTCGTGGCCAACCCATAAAAATAACCGTAATACATAAAACCCTTGTTTCCATAACCCAAAGTAGAAAGAAACCCGTAATCGCAACATGAGATACCGAAAAATAGAAATACCCAATCAATTTTGATCCTCCAAAGTTGTAATCCTTGCCCTAAATGCCTCATTCTGGGGGCCCAATTTCCGCTTCTTTTCACCCTCCCTTCCGTTGTCCTTTCCTCCGGAAGGATACCGTTTCCTCTTCAGGTCGGTTAACCTGACCTTACTTGTCGCCACGCAATCTTTCGCGAAGTGGTTATCTCTACCACAACGGAAACACTTTCCTTCCTTTTGCCACTTCTCCTTTTCGTCCTTGGTGACACCCAAGTCATCCGAGGCCTTGGAGTTGTGTGTTGGCGCGGAAAAAGTTTTCCGAGGTGCGGGGTTGCGCGATTTTCGCCGTTCCGATTTTTCCTCACGAGGTTTCACGACATCCTTGCCACGTAAGATCTCTTTCCAGGCCTTCACCTCGTGATCCTTACGTCCGACCTTCCTAACCCAGGCTAGCCATTCCGCGAAATCTTCTGGTTCCTCGATCGCATTCGAGAGGCGTTGTTCCAGCGAGGAGTTTATTCCTGTTAGGATCATGGATTTCATTACGATGGGTCCGACCTTCGCGTCCCATTCCAGATTCTGCATCTCATTGATGTAGTCATCGATCATGCCAGTTTGACGGAGCTTATCCATCTTCTGTTTGGCTTGTTCTTGACTTGTTCGATTGCCGTACTGAATCCGTAATTCGTTTTTGAAATTCTCCCATGTTCCGATGCTGGGGTCTACCGATAGTCGCTCCACGAAGTTTCGCCAGAATTTTGCCGCACTCCCGGTAAGTTCGAGGGATGCCCACAGGATCTTAGTTTGGTCGTCCCACCGGACTTTCCTCTGAAGTTCAATTAAGACTTCCATTTGGTCGATCCAGTGTCGTACGTCTTCGTCGGCTTTTCCGGAGAAGGGGATTTTTGCCTGTTTTGGCGTATCTCCCAGGGTGGCGCGAGGGGGGTGCATGAGGTCTACCTCTTGCTGCCTGTTACGGCGTCTTCGCTCCTCCCTTCTTCTCTGCCTTCGTTCGCGTGCTCGACGATCGTCCTCTGAATCGGAGGAGCTGGATGAGTCTGAGGGGGATGGGTCTCGTGGTCTTGCGCGGTTTCCGCCGTTGCCGTTATTGCCGTTTCCTCCCTTGCCCCCTTGCTCACTTTGCTGGCTTCTTGCTTCGGAGTGAGGGGGTACGGGGGTTTTGTTCCCTGATCCTTCCGGTCTCTCTCCGGAATTGCTAGGGGGGTTCTGTGGAGGTTGGGGGGGTGCTACGCCTCCGCCTCCTGAGCCTTGGGGGGCTGCTGCCGTCCTATTGGCTGCTACCCTCATTTGCTCAATAATCTCCTCCAGGTTCTTCTTCGTACCTGCGAACTGGTCTTCCATCGCAGCTTGTCTGTCCCGTTCCATCCTTTCGAGGGCAGCCATAACCTCCGCGGGTATCTGCACAGGGCCATCTTTTGGGAGTTGTTGGACGAAGTTGGTCAACGCGTTTATGTGCTGATCCTGTCGTTCCTGCCTTTCCTGATGCGCCCTAGTTGCTTCGACGATCTGCCCAAGGACTTGGCCGAGGTTGCTGGTAGCGGCGGTGGATTCCGCCCGTAGCTGAGCCATGACTTGGTTGAGCTGATTGTCCCGCTCGGCTCTGTCCCCAGCGAACTTGGCGTGGAGGTCCTCGACGATCTTGTTGGTATACTCCTGCTGCTGCCGGGTGAGCTCCCTGAGTATGGGGATATCCCGCACGTGCATGCTGAGTTCCTCGATCCCGCGGCTGAGCTGCTGTACCACGGGAGCCCCTTGTCGCTGGACCTCTTGCCCGATAAGGTCGCCAAAAGGGTTCTCCACTCGTCGTTCCTCTACGTCCATGTTGGTATCCTCGTCGTCGTCCATTACCCGAGGCACCGAGGGCCTCTGAGTAGAGGATTTCTCTCTGATTGGGGTGACGTAGGGGGAGAACTCCCGGTGGTCTACCTGCCGCCTCCTCGCCTGCCCATAGGATTCTTCCTGCCTGGTCGATGTGAAGAGGGAGCCTATCGGTACATCTCTCTCTTTCCTGTGGCGCCTCTTCGCTTGGGTCTCCAATATACCTCGATCTCTCAAGGCGATTGAACTCTCCATGTTGTAGTCTTCCTCCGATCGTTGCTGATGAGCCCTTGACATTGCTAAGTTGTTCGAGTTTGAGCTGTGGATGCCTTCTGCACCAGGGTTGAGCAATGAACCAGGGGGCCGGATGAGCAAGTCCGAAAGATCGTTGGGAGAGAGTGATCTTGATCGGGAAGAGTTCTGGGTAGTGGAGGATTTCGGGGTCGTGTTCCTCAAAAGTAGCGGTAGTCCCTGCTTCTGCGAAGAAACCTGTGTAGTGGAGGTATCCGCAGTACAGATGTTCGGCGCTTCCTCTTCGTACGATGAAGGATGTAGCGCAAAGGTAGTTATCGATGGCTGCTGTTGCCACTCGTGGGTGCATATAGTACCTTGGTCTTTCTAATAGACTAAACGCTTATTCTTCTACTGAGAGCACGGTGACTATCCGCCACTAAGCAAAATACTCAGAGTATTGGTTTAAGCGAGTAATTGTCTTATCGAGACTTTGGTAGGGTATGCGATAGGTAAAGAGTAAAAAGCTAGGGATAAGGTACAATATAGTGTTTGGGGAAATGGCCAGTGCTAAGCGATAATTCTGTAGCGTTTAAACTGATGATATTGTAAACCGGATTCCCTTGACTTTGATGGTTGATGATACCCTCAAGTCTTCGCAGAATCAAGCCCTATTTATACATGTTGGGACCTATGCCAAGGCCCGCTTTCTAATACTAACTGATACAACGATAATAGAATAAGATAACGCTCCCGAAGATAACCCAGATAGAAAAGCGCCCCCGCATAGTCCCGTCCTCCATTCTAATTCCGACACGTAACCATGAACTTTGCAATTGCCAGTCATCGGATTGTACCATACTATTATCCTAGACCTACTTCTCTAAGTAGAACAGCCTACAGCCGTAAGCCCCGCTTACTATTCTATTTTGGGTGAGACACCCAACAGTAAGCGTGCCGTCATAATAGTATGGCCTAGCGTGGTGACACCGCGTGCCCCCACACTACCCGATACCTTTCTATGCTTGCCCTTCCGTTACCCGACCGGCCTTACATCACAACCCGTCACTCGTATTTCTCACTGTCCTAAGCCTGTAGAACAGTGCTTCCGTAGTTCCTGTAACAGATGGACCCGTAGCGGGGCATCTAGGAAGGGATAAAACCCTTGAGTTGATCGATAGGAACTACTGGTGGCCAGGAATGTCCACGGATGTAGCCAACTTCGTCAAGCCTTGCGATGTATGCCAGAGAGCCAAGCAACGTCGGAGACACTTGTCACTCCCTCAACCCCTAGAGTTAGCCACCACACCTTGGACTGATATCTCGATGGATTTCGTAGTAGAAATGCCTAGGGAGAAATCAGGATTCCGTAACGTATTGGTAGTCGTGGATCATTTTACGAAAATGGCTCACTTCATTCCAATGACGGGAATCAGCGCGGAACAGACCGCTAACGCATTTGTCAAAGACATCTAGCGTTTCCACGGACTTCCTAGGAGCATCGTCTCTGACAGATGAACGCAGTTCGTATCAAGCATTCTGGACGGCAATCACGGAAAGATTGGGGATTCGTAGGAGACTCTCTACTTCATTCCACCCGCAAACCGACGGCCAGACAGAACGGACCAATCAGCACATGGAAGGTTATATTCGGGCATACACGGCCGGGACAGGCAAGAAATAGAAGGACCTGTTACCCATCTGCGAATACGCCTACAATAATGCGAAGCACACGTCGATGGGGCAATCACCCTTCTACTGCAATTATGGCTTCCACCCCCGAACGGATTGGCCTACAGATGCAGAGATGGAACGATTAGACGCCAATGGGAATAACTACTTACACGAGATCATCACGGCTCATGAATTAGCAAGAGACACGCTACAGAAGACCTTCGACAGGATGGCGTCAAGGCCGAGACCAGCAGTACAGCGGTTCACTATCGGTCAGAAAGTCTTGCTGGATATTCGGAACCTAGGAGGATACTCCAAGTGGTCAGACAAGTTCACAGGACCATTCACAGTCTCAGCAGTGGTGGGCAATCGGGCTTACCGCCTTGAACTTCCGGTAGAATGGAAGGTTCACGACGTCTTCCACGAGATGCTGCTGCGACGTTATCGCGAGGATCTGGATCCAACCAGGCAGCAAAATACGCGAAAACGACTGGCAACACCCGAGCCACAGGAGGCATTAGCGGACGAGAACTTCTAGCCACCTTGAACCTACGACCCCACACACGAAGTCAGGGCCCAGCAATCAATGACGAACGGGCTCGCAAACGACAACGGAACAGGCGGGACTAAGCTCGATACCTTTCCCTACTCTATGACTTTCCCCACAGGGTTTTTATCATAGAAGGGTTTTAACGGTCGAGGGCGACGTCTAGGAAGGGGGAGTAGTGTTACAGGAATTACGGAGCACTGTTCTAGAGGTTTAGGACAGTGAGGAATACGAGTGACGGGTTGTGATGCGAGGACGGTCGGGTAACGGAAGGACAAGCATAGAAAGGTATCGGGTAGTGTGGGGGCACGCGGTGTTACCACGCTAGTCCCATACTATTATGACGGCACGCTTACTATTGGGTGTCTCACCCGGAATAGAATAGGAAGCGGGGCTTACGGCTGCAGGCTGTTCTACTTGGGGAAGTAGGTCTAGGATAATAGTATGGCACAGCCCGATGACTGGCAATTGCAAGGTTCATGGATACGTGTCGGAATTAGAATGGAGGATGGAACTATGCGGGGGCGCTTTTCTATCTGGGTTATCTTCGGGAGCATTATCTTATTCTATTATTGTTGTATCAGTTAGTATTAGAAAGCGGGCCTTGGCATAGGTTCCAACATGTATAAATAGGGCTTGATTCTGCGAAGACTTGAGGGCATCATCAAAAAACCTCAAGTCAAGGGAATCCGGTTTACAATATCATCAGTTTAAACGCTACAGAATTATCGCTTAGCACTGGCTATTTCCCCAAACAGTCACTGTCTATCCCTGTTTTTCCCGGTAATCGTTGTGATTACCGGGAACAGCTAGACGAAGGGGTGTCGTGTTAAAACATATGAAGGGACGGCTGGGTGGTTAACAGTTGACGTGCGAATGGGAAACCAAATAATTGCACCCCCCCGCCCCCAATACTCCATTCAACGAGTCGTGGTTGGCTCGTCTACCCCCCGCCCTAAGGTCCATTCCTGTTACGCGTAGATGGAGCGGCTGGCCTTGGCCGTACGTTAGGAACGGAACTGCCAAGCATAGATCGCGCGTCGGCAAGGGAGAAAGAGCTCGGGTTGTGAGGATGATGTAGATAGTGACAAGACTGTAGGCGATCCCATCAACCGTAGCAACCGAGTTAAGGACCCGATTGGGTCCCACTTGGAATAAAGTGACCTTTCTTAAATTCACAGCAACACCAGCTTCGTGAGTACTATATTAGGAGCTCTTATTGGGATCGGTTGATAAACTTTCCCGCTTCTTTGTTATTAGTGAACAGGGCTGGATTATATCGTTTTTGTGTTTTTATCGAGGTTAGAGTTGCAAAGTACCCAATTGGAACCTCAGGCTTCTACGGTTCGTGTGAGATTCTGACTCGGACTCGCAACCTCAACACGAACGATGGGCACCGGACTCGATATAACGCCTCGACGCCGAGCAAGTATCATAACCATGCGTTTTGCTGGAGCAATTATCAAGCCTAATAAATTGGATTTGTTGGATCGGGCTTCGTTGAGTACGTTGGGTTGTGGCGCCGCCGTCACACTCTTTAAAATCCGGCAAGTACATGTAGCTATGTACTCGCGGCCAGCAACAAGAACCCGAATATGCAGCTGCAAGTCTTTGGTGTATTTTTGACTTCTACTCCAATGGAAATTGCAGATTAGGACGTGCATTTTCGGGTTCTTGTTGCTGGTCGCGAGTAGTTCTGACACAGTGGCTGGCTTCTTGTGACCGAGGTCTTCGCATAGTTCCACGAACGCCTCGCCTGCGCCACAACGGTACGACCACAACCATACAAATACACGCAAAGAAAAGGACTACAACATGTAGTACATACATCTTGTATACTTATGTACATACATCCAAAACTAAACCACCACTACAGCCAATTTTGGTGTTGCATTTGTCCTTGTTGACATGGTGCACGTACTGTGTACAGCTCTCAAGTACCCCCGACCGGCGCACCGCCACCTGGTATAGACGATGGAGCTTGCCGCACCATGCGCGCGCACACGTATCGGCGCGCGGTAAACCGATCGAAAGAATCTATCGCGACAGGCCTGAAGTGCCCGAAAATGCAGCTGCAAGGTTTTGGTGTATTTTTGACTTCTACTCTAGTGGCAATTGTAGATTAGGGCGTGCATTTTCGGGTACTTGTTACCTGCTGCGAGTACATTTGTACATGTACCTTACCGTCGAAACGGGTAAAATAATAAGGCTGATTTGTATTCTCTGGCGGCGGACATTGTAATCTATTTGCCGGCTGGCTGCATCACAAGATATCACTCGTTCGCTCCAGGTGAAACTTTACATAATTCTTTTTTCTAAATCATTGAGGAAAGCGACTCAATTACAAGTGAGAGGTAGGTTTATTAGCATGTATATATATATAGAAAAATCTCTTGCAAGAGATACAGACTATATACGCTTCCGCTGGGTATATCTGGTACCGAGCCCTGCATTGATTAGCTAAACGAGGCTGTGCACACACACTCACGCGCTTAAGTACGCGCCAAGGCTCTATTTCTGGCGTGTATTATAAATTTTGGTGCATCTGTCTGGTCGGCGTACATTGCTACTACTAACAGTCGCCGCGTGAGCGGGGAACCGGCTGGGAGGTGGGGGCTGGTTTGCGATTAATCAGTGTCTATGGACGGTGATAGGACGCAAATAGCTGTGATAGAATTAAAGACATCGTACGGAGCTTTTATTTATCTAGGAGCTCCCCCCGGTTCCATATATATATATATATATATGTATCAGGATCTTTTATATAGGTAAGTACTTATCTGGGGTAACTGTATGTAACGGTGGACTAGTGGGAGTACTACTATATAAGACGTTGGCTGAGCATATGGCGCCCACGGTTAATTGCGAACCCAGGTAAATTGGGAGGAGACATGGATAAGGGGAGAAGAGCGTTAAGTTAATTTGTGTTCCTCACCTTTGTTCTAGAATAAGAACCGACAGCTTATGCTATGCTTAGACGTAAATACACTTCGGTGCCGCATACACCGCGCCGGAACCCCAACTATTATAGTGCAACATGAGCGAGCCTGGATATCTTCAGCTCAGCTTGCAGCCGTTATCGAATGCTTGTCTCAGAGCCAGTACCATCTGCTGGCTTCTCTAAGACGTTTTTTCTATCGATATAACATATTCATATCTGGACAGAGTTTATTAAGCCAAAATACCAGTTTCCTCATGATCACCGGTATCCCGTGATATAATAAAGCCACTCCCGCCGAGCTAAGCAATAGGCGACTGCCTGCCGAGTATGCATGTATTCGCGGGAAAGAGGTGGCTAGCTAGTACGGGACGAGCTGACAGGAGATGAAGATATCGATTCTGTCCCGCCAGTACATACATCCGGTGAAGCCGTCTTAGATTGCTTATCAACCTATCTCGTCCTAGCACTCTGTAGAGATATAAAACCCCACAATCTGCACAAAACTTCCAATAATGCAGCACCGATATTTGTTAACTCGCGTCTTATTTTCTCTGGAATCCGGTATTCCTGTCCTCTCATTTACACCCCGCGATACTGGTATCGAATCTACGTTCCTTTGACCTGTGCTGAATTGAGTGAAGCAATATCCCCTCCCTCTGCCTCAACATAAAAATGGCTACCCGAAAAAACCCCTTCGCAATGAACATCTTCCTCTCACTCCTCCTGCTCCTTACCCTTCCCTTCACACTTTCCGCCCCCGCCCCCGCCCCCGGCGTTCGCCCCGACGTCGTCGTCGCCCCCAAATTCATGACCCTCGCCAACACCTACAAAAAGCAACTCTACACCGCCCCCGGCCAAAGCATCCTCTTCTACGGCCGCCCGCCACAGCCCAAGACCGGCACGCTGCAGATGAAAGACTTCATCATGCAGACGTACGTCAAAAAGTCGCCCGGCACCTCGCTCGACTACCTCATAGAGCACAACAAGCTCTGGGACAAGATCAACGAGTCCGACCCCTCGGAGCGCCTGCAGTGGGGCTCGGCCATGAGCCACATCTACACAAACCAGGCTTCGGGCGTGGTGCGCGTGCTCGTCGGCGCGAACCCGGGTACGATCGAGTGGTACAAGAGTTCGGTGTTTTACCAGTTTGAGTTGCCTGAACTTACGAAGGCGGGAACGAAGGTGACGCAGATTGTGATGGTGAATGCGGCCAAGTTGGAGGCGACAAAGGTGTTTTGGACGCCGGGCAAGGGGCACTGGGGGAAGGGGGGGAAGAATGCGGATAAGACGCCGTTTGACCAGTTTGTGGCGCCGGGGGGTGCGAGTAGTGCGGGTGCGGGTGCGGCAGCGTGTAAAAGAGCTCTGGGGCAGGCGTGCAAGACGGCGGGGAGTGCGAAGGCGAAGATGGGAGGAGGCGCGGTGGCTAAGAAGAAGACTGCTGCTCCCGCGCTGAAGAAGGGACGTGGGAAGGTGTAGACAACATGGCATCGATGGTTGAGCGCCGGAAGGGGAGAACAGGAAGGGGAGAACAGGACTACCCACTGCCTGCACGGTCTTGAAGGCGTGGAGGTTCGAGAACAACGAATGTACCGAAGTGCGAGTGTAAATATAAAGAAAGGCTAGAGATCTATTCAATATATATACGGATAACTTTCTATACGTAATGGATATATGGAGTGCGTGGTAAACTAATTGTTGCTAATGAGATTCTCGTGTTACCGAGTGATAGCTTATGACTCAATCGATCGCAGGCAGGAAGTAATATCGGATGGGCTCCCTCGGGATCCAGAGAGTAGTAATTGTTGCCATATCCTTTTTTGATTCATTATGCTATATAAAATCATTGATTTGCTTCTCATCTGTCGGTAGACTATCGACACACGGTCTGAGAATTGCAACTTCCCATCCTGGGTGGTAGGGTCTAGTCTACCAAGGGTATCTTACTATGCACCTTTCGGATCGAAGGATTTGCGAACTTGATGAATTAATTGACCAATGATAATTTCGTCGAGCCGAGTTATATACTGCGTCCACGTCTCGCACAAAAAGATAAATTAAAGCCCCTATCCCCTCGGCGGTCAGACCCAACCAGTACCGGTTAGATTAATCATATATGTATAAAAGTCATGATATTGAAAGCAATGTCAATGGATAAATCCGCACATTCATTCCCATTTGCGAAGATATTGATGATGTATTAGTTGTGTCGCAGCTGCCTTCCCCAACTCTATCAAGTAATCTGACAGATACTAAATGGGCCTGACCGCCGAGGGGAAAACTACCTAGCGCAATTGGGGGGGATGAAAAATCAAAATGCACAGAGACGACGAATCAAATTGGCGAGAGGATATGTTGTGATTATATATAGCACTCTGGTCAGATTGCGTCAGGATGTACTTGTTGGGGTAAACGGTCACTCGCGTATTGAATTCAATCATAGAATATCACTCGTCGCATGACATCTGCAGCAATGTCAGAGATGCCCATCCATCATGGCCAGGTCTTAACCTCCACTTTCTTATGTCTACTCTAGGCCCCTCTCTATGTTTGGAAACACCTTGAGCCGGTCTTGTTACCAAGAGAGCGAGAGAAGGCAAGACGCGCCAAGAGATGCGCCTTGGCAAACCCGGTCCGGAGAATCAGGATAAATTGCCACGTGCAGATTCTGCGGAACAGGAAAAACGATGTTCCATCTGCATCAGCGTAGGATTCGGCGATCTTCTTACCTCTGCACCTGTCCTCACACTCATACATTTTCAACACCGTATCAAATATAAAACAGAAGCTTGTGCATGTATTCACTCCCACGGTTCCTGATATCACGAGCGAGTCCAATTATACGATGCTAACCTGACAGATACCAATTGCGCCTGACCGCCGAGGGGATACATACATGATGTATCACTTAACTAATTATAAGAGGTAAGTACATGTAGCCCTGTTTTGCCAAGTATAGCAAAATCGTAGCGCGAAAAAAGACAACTACCTGCTTGTTAGTTCAGAGCGTGAAACAAGGTCAGCTAGAGACTCGAGCGCGTCTAGCATAGTAATTCCAAATCCTGATTACATTTTTTTAGATTTCAAGCTATCCCGTGGCCAGCGGCCGTCCCGGGCCGACGCATCGAACATACCCCACATTTACAACTGCCGTAAAGAGCTGAGTCTACATGAGGTGCAGATATCTGTGTTGAGTAATCTAGGTACCATAGCTACTCTAGCTGCGGGTTGATCCAGGAAGCTTTAACATCCATGCGTCGATCGTATGATGTGCATGTAGTAGCGCCAGTGATCGGTTGGCGCCGGCTATGCATATTTCTTGTATTATGTAGTGCCCTTAAGCTCCGTGAATATTGGACCCCACGGTTTTACATGTGCCTAGAGCGCACATATATACTTACTTCCTTAGCACTAAAAGCAAAAGAACTAGAAAATGCGGGCAACGGAAACAGGGGTGTTTGTATGAGAGAACGGCGCTATTCCATACAAATTCTTCTTGCCCTGAGAAACTGCAGTTTTTGGTTCTTTTGTTAATAAGCAAGCTAGTACAATAGAGTAGATATACCTATCGCCTGGTGGGCCGAGACATGCTCAGAATCTGGTGCTTTGCATATTATACAAACCTGGCGCTTGCCTTGCCAGATAGGGTAATGATACAGTTGAGATTTCAACAAGCAACTCCCACAAGCAGTAAATTTTGGTCCAAAGTTGCCAAGGCTGCGGAGCACTCCAACCAACGGCATATATCCCGATTCCCGACCCTGCAACATGGCTCCACACGCGATATGCATCTGCACTCGTCGCATCGATCTTCTCCTAGCTAGATGATATACACCCAGCACGCCGGTACCGAGCTCCCCCGATCTTCGTAGCTTACATTAAGGAACTAAACCCATTGCAGCGGGTAAACTGCACATACACCTGGTTACTCGTACTTTCGTGACGTTTGGAAAAGGAACCACTATTGCATACCATACAAATACGCGCCAAGTCCACAATTTAGTATGGTATGCAATAGCGGTTCCTTTTAAAAACGTCACGAAAATACGAGTAAACATGTCGGGAAAGCGGCAGTTTGAACGATCTGCAGTGCAATGGGGACCCTGTACATATTGGCACTTTGATTTCAGCTCAAGTTGAAGAGTTTGGGCTTTGAGTCCAGCTGAGGTAGGACAGGTTAGCCCTATGCGTGCTGGGAGGGAGCGACTGTGCTCGGTTGCTCTTGGCTAGCTCATGCACTATTCGATCGATATTGAGAAGGTGTGATTATATACCGTAGGTTTCCACATGCACACAGGACGACTCCTCAAACCTTAGAATAATAGCCTGCCGAAGAAACCCGAGCTGGAGGCACCCATCCGACCCCGTGGGAGGAATATCTCAATTGACCGGGGAAGCTCAATTGACACAGATAGCTGGCCGACTTTCAAGAATTACACGGTGAGTGAGAAAGTTGACTAGGCTACCTAGTGTTACAAAATTAAAACCTGCGGTAAAGATCGAATCCATCGTGGCCGGTGAGAATCTCTTTCAATTTAAGGCCGCGAGTGCAGGTCTTGCTACAGCACGATTTCATGGAATGAGGCATATGTTACAGGTAGCAGGATTGCGAGTACTCATAATCATAGGAATTAATCCCATGCATCTGGTTATATTGTGAGGGTGATGTCAAGGTACTAGGAGGGTTAATTGGTATGCAGTTTTTTCAACCAATATTTGATCATACGGCCTAGCTAGCGGGCGTAGAAATGCGTCATTTAAATATTATTCATTCAAAAAAGATCGTGATAATTGATTTTTTGATTAATGATGCATTGCGGATCCAGCGGTGAGACACATCGAAGAGTGTCCATTGCTTTCGTGCAGGGTTTCAGCTAAGAATGAGGGAATAGAATGATTTTTATTATTGCGGAATGAATCATCGTAGAAGGTTATCGATTGAAGACAAAGGTGGAGGATCTCCTACACGGGACAAGGTCGGTATACTAAACAATATCTGCAACCTGATATCTCGTAGCACCACCACGGTGTATGCAGACAATTGTAATCAAATTAGCTAAACACCAAGGCCTGAGTAAAGGGTATATAAACCCTCTCTCCTCCGCCCTTTAGCCACATCACTACTCACTCTCGATTCATCCATTAAGCTAGAAATACTTCAGACAGTATACAAAAAAAAAAAGCAAAATCTATTCAAAATGGCAAATACAATGCTCACTCGCAGCCCGTTGGCTTCTTACAGCTTCACCGACAGCTCCGGTGCAAACATCCGTGTCTGCTACCAGAATAGAGACGGCGTTATTGGAATGACCGGCTACGACGACAAAAAGGGGTGGCGTGTGAGGTCTAGCAATATCGGTAGCGCAGATCTTAATAACGGGATGGCCCTGACGGGCTAGAACAGTGGAAAAGAGGTAAATATATACATATTCCCCAGGAAAGCCTTGCTATAACCGCCGACTAACTCGACTCTCTCTTTCACCAGCTACGCCTCTACACCGTTCGCAGCGACGGCGCGATCGCAGAGGTATATACATATCCCCTTCCTCTCCTTGGTCCCTCCTCACAACATGTCACAAGTCTAACTTATGCTCTAGCGCTGCTACTCAGGCGGCGAGTGGTATGACGGCGAATTAACCGGGGTATTCGTTGCAGCCAAATACTCACAGCTAGCTGCGGCAGCCTTCGAAACATCTAACGGCACCATCTCCATCCGCGTCTACTATCAAGACCCCGACAACAAGATCCACGAGGCCTGTCGCGACGGCTCCGAGCCTTGGTTCGATGGCAACATCTTCGAGACCGCAATTGCAGCGACCAGTATCGCTGTTTCGCAAATCCCTGGGAGGGAGTGGTACTTGTGGTTGTTCTTCCAGAGGCCAAACACAGAATTCGTAGAGTGGTTGATGCAGGCCAGCAGCTCATGGAAGCAGGGTGAGTTTTCTGAGCATGAGCCCCCCAACCCCCTCCCTACGCCAAGTGGATCTCAGAGTTTCTAACACGGTTCGAACCCGCACAGGCGTGTTCAAGAGCCAAGCAACATATGACCCTGGCGCCTACATCAGCTGCGCATCCTACGGCAGGGACGACCACCGTGGCTTCACAGTCGACCGCGAAAACAAGCTATGCGTGACCGAGTTCAACGCGGGGTCTAATAACTGGCAGCCGACAAAGCAGCTCGGGCCAGTTATCCCCCAGTCGGCTCTTGCGGCGGTGCCGGTGCCGGGGAACGTCCCATGGGTCAGAATCTATGTGCAGACCTCGCCGGGACAGATTGCGGAGTGGGGGACCAACGATGGAAAGAATTACTCGCTCATGGCATCACAGTTGCCAACGAACTAGCGGGGGGATGAACGCTGACTTGGATAAGAGAAACGAGGAACTTTGTCATGTACCTTAGCCATGAGAAATGAGAAACAGAAATCTGACAGGTGCATATTATCTGGCCATCGTTTGCCGTGTGGGTCAATTATTTGTTTGTGAAGGTCGCGACTAACTCATGGGTTGAGATTGTCTTTTTCATGGCTGTTGGGTACGAGATCGACAGAGGCCCAGTCTCCGTGGTCTCATAGTCCTGACCCTAAGATGGGTTGATGAGCATACTAGGTATTTACTCGGCTTGAAAGAATTGAGTGAGTGGGCATGATCCACGACTTGATTTTTTTTTTTTTTTTTTCGTTATATTTAAGACTTGATAGCTTTTTCTTGATAACACGAGATCTCACCATCAAGGCCCACTGGTAACGTATTCCTGGTAGAGCTTAGGTCTAGTACGCATCTGTATCCGCATGAAACCTCGGAACTGTTTTCTCTCCCGGGACATGTAGTGGGTTACATGATAGCTCCTGCGCATCCTTAGGTTGTTGTACATGTACACAGTATATCATAATTTAGAACGTGGGCAGTACTGTTCTCAGATCCATTCGATATCTGTCTTTTGGTGGTGATGGTGGCGGTACGCTGGCCTATATGTAGCGAGAGGGTTAGTGTGCCTCAGTACTTACCTAATGGTTGCTATGCCGAAAGGCTTAGTTGCAATACCAAAAATCTCAGTTGCTATGCCAACCCGACTCCATGCCGCTGCTAGGTTAAAACCCGACTGTTACCATAGAAGAACTGTGGGACTAAGTACGTTTTGATTTTTGATCGAACTAGGCTTTGCTCATGTTGAACACAATTAGTGTACCCAATCATGTTAGAGTCATTTTCATAAAACTTGGCCCCGTCAATCTTTCCCACACATCATGACCGATCCCTAGACAGATAATTTATATTGACTAATTAAACAAGTATCTGGAGTTCAACTTTCAAAAGTGTTCCATCCGGATTGCCCAATTGAGGAGGTAATCAATATAAGGTTTTTCAGATCGCAGTGTATATGTGTGAAAGATTGGCGCGGCCAAGTCGTATGAAAATTGCTGTAAAGTATCAACGTACGTACTTTTCAACATCGGAGAACACAGGAGGGCCTAGTAACGGGGCTAGAGCGTAGGTTGTGTCCTGCTCTGTTCGGTTCGCCTCATGGGATATCACTCGGTTGCTATATATGCGCTTAGCTACTCGAGGAGATAACGAGTACAGCTACATGTATGCTAAATGCGAGCACAATTCTAGAAACTCGCTTCTTTCTTATGTGGTGACCTTTCTCTACCACTAGGCGGTGGGTTCGGTTTGCTGGTTGTACTCGAACCCTAACCCTACGCTTTTGGAAGCTCAACAGCAAAACCTAATCCTACGTGCTTGCTTGGCCGTGTGCGGTAGACATGAGACAAAAAGCTTCAAGGGTTTAAAACGATACGATACATAAGAGTGCCTGATGGCGGTCTTGAGACGACTCGAGGGCTCGTCACGAGATAGGTCGTAAGATATTTCAACAACAAATAACCTCTACACGACGAAACCCAAGCCTTTCACCAGCCAAGACCAAAATAAAGACAATACCAGGTTGTGAATAGCTAATTCCTTGGGGGGTGAAGAGTCTTTGGGTTCTGCGAGTGTTATAATTACTTGTGCGGGTCGGCAAATGCATCATCTTTATGGCCGGGGTGCGATATAAGTATATCTAGGTACGGGAAGCATTTACCAAGGAGGTAGTAAGAGAGATGAGGGAGAGATAATAAAACCACAGAGAGCTAATACCTAGAGGATGAATATAAAAAAACACACCATTTTTTCTTTCATTTTTTCTTCTTTCTTTCTAGAATTCTTCCCCAAGAAACAGTGTCGGGCTCAGATTGTATAAGCTTAGTTATTGGTGATAATATAATAATGAGTCAATTTCGTTTCGAAGAACAATACTCATCGGATCTTTGATAGGCCGATGTACTACTGTACTATTGGGTGATGGTAATCAACTTCTTATCTTCTGTAGCCGTATGTACTCGAGGTCTCCGGCCTCCGACCTTTACTACGAGTGGAAATGCATCAGGAAATACATCAAGATTTAGGATTAAAGCTATGGGGAAAGAGGTTCTCAATGAATGAGTACAGCTGATAATTTGCTCATAAGAGCAGCCACTCTTGGCGATTTGTGTTTAGTGTGGTTGACAAGTCGAGTCCGCTCGAGCGGGCACGAGCAGCCCCTTGAAAGAGTCGAGTTGGCTCGAGCAGTTTCTGCTGTTCGACTTGAAATGCTCGAGCTTTCTAGCTGTTTTTTAATGTGGGTTTCCAATGCTTGACACAAAGAGCCAGAGCTTTCCAATTGTTATTTGAACGTGAGTTGCCGCTCCTTGTTTATTAATTGGTATATAGATGGACCTACAATTGTCATAATCTTTATCGTGGTTCCTGTTCTCGTCTGTCACATCATGGAAGAATGTGGTTTCAGGGAAAGACTCACGGGCCGTTGGGGTGGGCGGTTATTGTTCAATAAATATAATGAGAAGGAGATACTAATAGTTTTTATAATAGAGTTAATGGTTTCGGATAAGACCATCAGCGGTTTGAGAGATGCTCAAATCAAAGGCAATCGCTTTCCGCATACATGTACATAGTGTGGTCCACCAGCCGGACGTGCTCGAGCCTTCAGCTTGAGCCGTTGTCTCAAGCCTGTACGAGCCCGACCCCTCACGAGCCGGGCCGGGTCGAGCCCTAATCCGGGCTCAGCTTGAGCCGGCTCGTGAAATAATAGAGGGTGCTAGTAGTAATTAGATGGTACTAGGATAGAGCTGGACGCTACACAGTGCTCATATTCACTTATATATTCCGGAGCGTTCCAGTATTTTAGAGGATCTATCTATATAAGTACGCAATTCACCTCAGTTCAACCTTTAGCGACAATGGATCCACTCAACGATCACGGATTGTCACTCGACAAATGCTCAGATTTTCGATTGAAGCAGGCCTTGTGGTATGAAAGAAATATATCTACTTCTAGAGTACCAGTCAATTCATCGTCAATTTTTATCCATTGGCTTGAGCCGGGCTCAAGCCCTCGAGCTTTTTATGAACAAGCCGAGCCCAAGCACTAATATCACGAGCAGGCTCGTGGACCACACTACCTGTACAATAGAAGAATGATAATCTGTGATATCATTCATACCACTGCTACGCAACCTGGACATAGTACAGAGGTTAGACAAGATGATGCATCAGATCCGCTACAGTCCACTGCGAATGCCCCCATTGAGACACTTTCAATCCGTTGCTGCCATTGCGTGAAGCATTGGGGGCCGACCCCAGCGACAGATACTACGACCTCTGGATATATTCGGCGCTTCAAAGAGCTCCACAAAGGTTTACCCTCATCCGAGAAAGAGGATCGAAACTGCAATGATTAACAGAATGAAGAACAAGCGTAACATTGATTCTGTAATTATAAATCCTTTTGAAATTGCGCGGTCGGCAGCTCTACCAGCCATGGAAATGAATCAATTGATTCATTTCCTAGGGACGCTTGTGGAAAAGGAAGAAGAATCCATTTCCATCGCCGAAAATCCCTTTTCTTGATCCATTTCCAGAGGTTCGCCGCTTATGTACTACCTATTGTGTACAAGTGCGCGTCGTCATCCTAAAGCGCCTTTTCTAACGCCTTTTTTTGATACCTTTTTCTAGGCTACGCTGTTACTAGAAGTTCATTTTTTTATCACTTTCTAAGCGTCAATTTGTTGAGCAAAACTTAGAGGGCTATGTATATCATTCTATAGCACAGGTGGTAGCACGTGGGTTGCTTAATCGCAATCCTTTATGTTCAATCCCCGCCCGATCCATTTTTATTTTTTATCTTTGAGTATATATATAAACTTATATATAACCTTTGGGATAATGTGTTTATTAAAGTAACATATGAGACTTAAAATTCATTTCGGGATTCATTTCCCCATAGTAAAAAGATTCATTTCCTTGGTAAAGACAGTTCACTTAATAAGCACATTTCCGATGATTCATTTCACACCACAGTTTTACATGAGTAAAAGATTCATTTTTTGATTCATTTAAATAGTTGGTAGAGCAGGACGGGCAAGACAACCCGGTGAACAATTCAATTCATTCACCTTGGAGAAACTCTTATCCACCTTCCTTATTGCCTCCAATTCGTCTTTTCGTATAACAGAACTGGGATCTTTCCGGAGTCTCTTGCAATACTGTAATAGCAATGCAACATCAAACTGCAGCCAGTGATGTTAGGAAAATGTATGCAGAACTGCTTCCTTCGATTATAACAAAGCTACAAAATCAAACGGCAGAATGGCTACAGAAGGTGAATCTCACGTTGGATGCGTGGACATCTGGGAACAAGATTCTATATTTGGGCATTACGTGTCACTGGATGGACAAGAATTTTGATATGCAGGATTGTGTAATTGGTTTTAAGAGATTGAAAGGCTCGCATGCGGCAGAGAATCTTTGTGACGTCGTCGTTCAAACACTGCGGGAATTCAATTTACTGAAAGGTATTCAATGTATGATAGCTGATAATGCAAGCGTAAATACTAGGTTATTGAAACTCCCGGAAAATCATCTCCCGGTTGGAATAGGAAAGACGGACATGTTAGGTGTATGGGACACATAATCAATCTTGGTGCACAACAGATACTACAATCGCTGAAAGCAGAGTCTCTTACGCCAGAGGTACAGCTTGCCGAACAGGAATTCGGCGACGCAAGAGAATTATCGCCTGCTTGGGTATTAGTTATGTCACGGAAGATCCCTTTAAAGGTCTGTGCCTCAAATTTATTATTGGAGGCTCTTTCACGGCAAACCTTTGCATTAGAATTGCAGAATCTTAAACCTTTATTGGATATGCGAATATGGTACATGAATATTGATATAACTATTCACCGGGTCAGTCTGCTAATTGTTAGTAGATGGAATAGTACCTATGTCATGATACAGAGAATGCT